GTTTGAGAGGGATTAAAATTGAAAAACTAGCCGTTGTAGTTGACTTTTATTAGACGAGTGGGACTCAATAACGGCTATGTTTTCAATTTTAATTGGATTTTAATTCCTCTCAAACAAGCTCTTAGATTGTTGCTAGTGTGATTGCAAATTTTGTTACTGATATGGGGCCTACTGTGTGAGGCATAATTGAATTAGATGGTAGTATAGCAATCCTGTTTAATATGATTAGAATGTAGAAGATAAGGATTTAGATAGGTTGTCTACTGTCGAAAACTTTCTCCTCTTCCTGATGTTTATGTCATGCTTGAAGCGAATGCTTTTTTTCTGAACGAGAACACCTTGAAAACATGAGACCCATGGCAATAGAGGATTGATGAACTGGTATACTTGTTCAGTTAGATACAGCTTTACTAATGTTATTTTATGACAAAATCAGAAGAAAATTACCTTTGCAGACAAGAGAAATGTTTGTTGTTAATCAACTCTTTATGTTCTAGAGATTGTGATGTATACAAGATATTTAAAGCCTGCATGTCTTTGATAAAGTGCTGTTAGTGGCATCTACCTGTAAGTTCTCGTCACATTCATTTGGCTATGACTCAGTTGTTTGAAACATTGCTAATCATGAATATCAGATTGTTAATGCACTCATTTTGAATATCTAATTGTTAATGTACTCATCAGAATTTCAAATTATTAACGTATCTGTTGTCTTCATCTTATGGAACACTTTTTGATGAGCTATTACAAGATAAATTTCGTTTCTGATGTTAATTTTGGTTGCCTTTGACATATGCAGGAATTTAATTAACATTCTTGCAGAAGTTTCCCAAACAGGAAAGCAAAGGCACATCCCATATAGAGATTCCAAGTTGACATTTTTATTGCAGGAATCTCTTGGCGGGAATGCAAAACTGGCAATGATATGTGTGCGGTTTCTCCAGCCCAAAGGTGACCATGGATATCAGTTTATATATATATAAAGAATTTATTTGTAGTTTCCTTTTTCCTTGTTTTAAACTTGCAATGGTTTCTGTAACATATTTGCAGCTGCAAGAGTGAAACTCTCAGTACTCTGAGATTTGCCCAACGTGCAAAGGCTATAAAAAACAAGGCAGTTGTTAATGAAGAAATCCAGGATGATGTAAATGTTTTGAGACAAGTGAAACGACAGTTAAGGGTATATGATCTATTCTTTTCAATGTATGTTCATTAGTCACAATGGTTATTAATAACTAATCAGGTACGCAATTATATTGGGAGGAAAGTATAAAAATTAGAAGGAAACCTTTTATTGTTTTCTCTTATCATTAAACAGGATAAACTTCATCGAATGAAGGGAAACGGAAATCAAACAGGCCAAGTTGGAGCTTATTCCACAGGATGGAATGCCCGGAGAAGTTTGAATCTCCTGAAATTTAGCTTCAAGCAGCCAATTACGTTGCCCCACGTGGATGATGACACTGATGAAGAAATGGAAATCGTTGAGGAAGAAACTGTTGATGAGGACACAGATGTTAATATAGAAGATGAGGCACTCAAACCAGTTGATGAGGATAAATATAATATCACCGATTGTGGGTTTATAGAAAGAAAGTCAGGGATAGAACTGCAAAATAGTGATTCTTGCGGACGCTACACTCAGGGGGAGTATATTCCTTCAATTCTTGAAGACTTGCCGAATGAAGATGTTGCAGCTCATAATCACTACTGTTCCAACTGACACGTTGCCAGTTCTGAAGTCTCCGACTCCCAGTGTTTCACCAAGGCTGAGCAATAGCAGGAAAAGTTGTTTCACATCAACAGAACATTTGGCTGCAGCTCTTCACCGTGGTCTTGATGTTATAGGGAGCCTTCGTCATAGTGCAGCTTTGGGACGATCATCATTCAGATTCTCTTGCGTACCAGCTGGTGTTAAAGCAGTTATACCAGTTGTGAAAGTTGATGCTGTGTTCAAACTCTTTTCAGTGATGATGAGTCATCAGAGAAGGATTCAGGAGTAATTATGTGTAGTAAATGCAAGACTAGAAATTCCCGGCAAGAGCTTATAGAAGAAAACAATGTGCAAAATATGCAGTTAGTGCCTGTCAACAAGTCACTATCGCGTGAAAAATTGAAGAAAGTTGCCAAAGTATGTGCAGTGGTGGTCTCAAGTCGAAATTTCTAGATACTTTTTCTTTCACAATTCTTATGTGAAATTCGTTGTTGTTCAGGAAGTTGAACAAGAAAAGGAGAGGAGATATTTTAGGGATGAAAATAAAGGGCTTCAGGCTCAATTGAGGGATACAGCCGAGGCTGTTCAGGCGGCTGGCGAATTAGTTGTGCGGCTTAAAAAAGCAGAAGAAGCAGTGGCTGCAGCGGAGGTGAGTTTGGAATTCTGCGCTGATTTGAATTCTTGTTCTTTGTTGTTCCATTATATTATTGTTCTGGCATTTAGGCGAGGCCTTTTTACCCGCTTACCGTTATGTTTTTCTGCTAATAAGTTCAGAAATGTGTGATTTATTTCTTGTTCCATTGTATGAATATATCATCATCAGCATTTGCCAATCTCGTGGCACATGTGCCTTTGACTGTTGCACTTGTTGAGTGTTATGTGAGAGAGTAAGTGGTTTGTTTGCTTAGAGAAGTTCCACAATAACCCGTTCCTTTTGGGCGCTGAGAAATCTTTATTTTGCTACTTTCTGCAGTTACTGTTTGTTCAAAAGACAAACTCATCCGTTTAATTTACATAGATGTCGTTTCTAACACTTTCTGAAAGAACTACATACATTTCATAAATTTGCAGAACCGGGCTATAGTGGCTGAGGGAGAGGCTGAAAGGGCCTACATGGAGAGAGACAGGTTGGTTCGGTTGCTTGCAGCAGACACTCGCACTCTAAATGAAGGGTTTGCTGCTGGGGAGGGTATTCACGTTGATGATGGTAATCAGCAATGGCGAGAGGAATTTGCTCCCTCTTATGGCATAGAAGAAGATCCCAGTTCATGGTTTGCTGGATACGACCGTTGCAACATATATATACAAATTTTCAGCTGGTTTGTTGCGTTTTAGCACAAGTCATTGTTGTTTGTTACAAACAGATACACATATAGCTAAATATACTTCTTTCCCATCTTCTAATGATACAAATGATCGCACCAATTGTGTTAGGAGGCGACGTTGTTCATTTGTATTTAGTTTGAGCTACATCATATCTACTTGCCTCCATCTTTTACATCCTCAAATTGATAAGCTACTGATATATTTGGGTCTCGAGTTTCGCTAAGCATATTGCCTCAGTTTATTCTTAACACGCGCGCTTGCATCCGCACACCACATGCATTGTTTGGAATGTTGTAGATAGGGTGGACGTATGGAAAGATCTACAAGACCAACGTTGACGCTACTAGCTCAGTGCTTGTTTGATTAAGCATGTGCTTGGCTCACATTATCAGCCTCCAAAGAATAAAATAATTGACCGTTGCTTCTTTGAATGGGCCCCACCTTAGAGATGCAAAGTCAAAAAAAGGGGCTGGTGCAGGGCTCTAACGGTCATAATTTTTCTTCTTTTGGCCAAATAATGTGAGCCAAACAGGCTCTAAACTTTATTTAAATTTTATCAACTTTTCAACTTGTCAAATTTCAATTTCATCAACACATTAATGGGATTAATAGCTTCTATTAATTTTTCAATTACATATTTGAAGTACATTTATCGAAATTTGTTAAAATTTTTATTAGAACTTTCGTTAAACAATCCCTTGAAATGATTATCTTCAAGTGGGCTTGTAGCAGTTTGTTATTATCAATTATTAAAAATAAGCTAAAAACAGAAGATAGTCCACAAGTACTTAAATTTGGCACCCTTGTGGTTTCAGTGTGTATAATTTCATGGAGACCATGAAACAGGTTGCTTGTGACATTGTCTTCTCTGACATTTATATCTTCTTACCTATGGACCATTAAAGCAGAAGCATATTTTAGGTTAACAAAGTGAAGACAGAATAGAACCTTTGTAGGCTTCAAAATCCTCTCAATTCATTGGCCACTAGAAATCTGAAATATATCCAATTTTTTATTTAATTTGGGAAGACCAGAAATTAAGCTATTGTATGTCACAAATCCAATGGGGATATGGGTGTGTAGGGGTGGGCAAAACTCAAACCAACCCACCTAAACCGTTCAACGGTTTGGGTCGGTTTTTTTGTGATTTTTCAGCTGGGTCGGTTTGGGTGTCCCGCTTAGTAAAAGAAAAAAAAATGGGGTACTTACAAAAATACTCTTAAAATTAGGGATGTTTTGAAAAATCATATGAAAAGTTTTTAGGAAGTAAAAAATACTGTGTAAAATGAAAAAGTGACACAATGTCACTTTTTTTTATAAAAATTGTCACTTTTTTATTTTTTAAAAAAAAAGTGACACAAACTAAAAAAAAGTGATAAAACACCAATTAAACCATTGAAATCAGTTCCATAAAGTAACTAAACTTTTCATTTAAGTCAATTAAATCAACATTTTTGAGAGATTCTTAAATCTCAATTCTACAAAATTACCACGTTCTATCACTTTTTAAATTAAATGTCACTTTTTTGAATTTTTATCATTTTTTAATGTATGTCACTTTTTTTAGTGTGTGTCACTTTTCTGAGTATTGTCATTTCTTTAAATTTCTGGTACTTTTTTTTAGTCTTTGTCACTTTTTAAATTACCAAGTATCTACAAATGAGAAATTTAACTTAACCAATAAAGCAAAACAACCCCAAAAATCATTTTTGCATCCGATTTCCATAAATTGCAATTCAATTCAAGAGTAAAGAAAAATAAAATCAGATCTGGACCATAATTCACTGATTGGATTTGGATTTTGACAAGAAAAGATGAGATTTCAGGGATTGATAGCTGAATCCTCCGCCAATTATTCCCTGCCCGTACCTGAACCCGACGCCTATACCGCATCTGAATCCAATGCCCAACACCATTTTGAGGTGGTTCCATGGCGAACCATCGAACCCGGCTCCGCCTGCTATTCCCATTCCCAATCCAATGCCGCACCCGATTCGGGCTTCGATTCCAGGACCCATAATTGAATCTCCATCAAAGCTAAACCATTTGTTCTTTCTTTATCCCCAAACTCCATTGCAAGATTCGGAGATACAAAATAATAAAATATAATTTCACATAATTTCCCAAAAAAATCACGAATCCACTGAGCAAAGCAAGCTGAGCACACGTTGAAGGAGAATAAAGCAAATAGTCTTGGGCAAGTTGAATACATACATACAGATATTTAAATACAGATACATAAAGGAGAAGAAAGAAAATAGTCTTTCACGAATCAACGACTCTTTTTCCTCCAAAACCTAAGGCGACGAAGTCTGAAATTCTTTGGGTTCGAATTCAAATTCGGGTGCAGCTTCTGGAAGTTCTGGAAATTGGGAGCTTTCTGAAGTTATGGAAATTGGGACTGATTTGGGTTTTGTAGGTGGTTTTGATAGTTTTAAGAATGTATTAAATACGTGATTAAATCATTTAATAAGTTAATAGGGTATTAATCAAATTAGTAATTTTTTCAGGGTATTGGACCTAATTTTCTCAAAAAAAAAATTAGAGGAAATTACACAATTCCAGGTGTTTAAAGTTTCAAATTCAAAAATCAGGGACCAAATTTAATTCTTCAAAAATCAGGTGATATATAAAAACTCAAACCCTAATTTCTCACTTCTTCCCCTTCCCCTTCCCCTCTCTCTCTCTCTCTCTCGCCAGTCACCTCGCCTCCCCTCTCTCTTCCGGCGGTCTCTGCCACCTTCCCTCCCCCTAAACTCAAACCCCAAACTGTTGTTTGCGTGAAAGACTACCATTTCACCACTAGAAAAGCCCTTCACTGCCACATTTTATAGAGAGGTGGGTGTTTAGACCTATTTGCACGCAATATTTTACTAAATTTCTATGTGAAAAATGAGTTGTTAGCTGATGCTATTAATCTGTTCAATGAAATGCCGGAAAGAAACATGGTTTCCTTTGTTACTTTGATACAGGGGTTTTCCCAGTCAGAAAAGTACATTGAGGCAGTTGAGCTGTTTGTTAGGTTACATAGGGAGGGTCATGGGCTTAATTCATTTGTGTTCACTACAATATTGAAGGTTCTTGTGAGTATGGAGTGGTCAGAGTTTGCTTGGTGCGCTCATGCTTGTATATGTAAGCTTGGTCATGATGCTAATGCCTTTGTTGGTACTGCACTTATTGATGCTTATTCCGTTTGTGGGTTTGTGGATGTTGCTGGAGAAGTGTTCCATGGAATTGTTGAAAAGGACATGATTACTTGGACAGCGATGGTGGCTTGTTATGCTGAGAATGATTGTTTTAAAGAGGCATTAAATCTTTTTACTAAAATGACGATGGTAGGGTTGAAGTCGAATAATTTTACTTTTGCAAGTGTGATTAAGGCATGTCTTGGACTTGCGGCTGTTAGTGCAGGCAAATGTGTTCATGGCTTTATTTTAAAGACTAGTTATGAGATGGATCGTTATGTGGGTGTTTCATTGCTTGATCTGTACACCAGGTCTAGAGACATTGAGGATGCTAGGCAGGTATTTGAAGAGATTCGTAAAGATGATGTGGTTCCGTGGAGTTTCATGATTGCCCGGTACTTACAGAGTGACCGGTGTGAGGAGGCTTTGGAATTGTTTCTTCAAATGAGGAAATCATTGGTTACTCCTAATCAGTTCACTTTAGCTAGTGTGCTGCAAGCTTGTGCAACGACAGAGGCTCTGGAACTGGGGAGGTAAATGCATTGCCATGCGCTCAAGGTGGGGGCGGATCTATTGATGGTGGTGGCGGATCTGCTGTTGCGTGTGTTCTGTGGCTGTGGGTGTGGTGGTTTGTGGCTGTTGCGACCTGTAACCAAGCGGCGGTAGTCTGTGACCAAATGTTTGGTAATCTGTGACCAAGCATTTGGTCGATCTGTGACTTGTGACCAAGCGGCGGTAGTCTGTGACCAAATGTTGGGTAATCTGTGACCAAATGTTTGTTAATATCTGTGACCAATTACTCAAAATGTGACCTAAAAATATAATAATACGTGACTCTTTAAAAATCCGTGACCTCGAAATAATATGTGACCAACTAATTTAAAAATCTGTGACCTCGAAATAATTTGTGACGTACAAATTTTTTGATATGTGACCTCGAAATAATTTGGGATAAAAAAATTTGACGAAATGTGACCAGTAAATAAATCTGTAACTTAAAATTATGAATATGTGACCATTAATCACAAAATGTGACTTTATTATCTTTATTTAATAAATATTTTTAATTAATTAAATTAATACCTGATTTTTGAATTTTTAAACTATTTACCAGGTAAAGAATACACGTTAAATATGAATTTTTTCCAAGTGAGAAGCAGCCCAACAAAATGCAACCCCAGCCCACAGAACACAAATGACAAAATGCAACCCTAACTTTATTCTTCCAAGCCAACTCTCTCTCTCGCCGTCTCTCACCGATCGTTAACGTTGTCGGGTCATATGTTTGCAGGATTTCTTCAATTTTCTTCTGGACAGATGGACGGTACTTTCTCCAGGTCTGAATTGTCGATACAATTAGTTTTATCCCTTTGACTTCTTTATTGTAACATGATTACTTGTTGGTAATTTTTGCTGGGATTTGATGTGGTTCTTATTGAAGTGTTTTTCTTGTTTCTAAAAGGCAGAACAGCAGTTGAACTCCAGTTGGATTCTCATGCGAGCAGGTAATTTGGGAGTGCCAACCACAAGTGAGTTGCTTAATGGTGTCTTAACTCCTGGTTCCAGAATTGGCATTGATCCTGTTCAGTAATATTCTAGTTTTCATTGTCTCTCTAGAAATAATATTTCATACATGCTAATATTTTAGATGAAATCACGACTCTCCTGATAATGGCTAAATTGTTTAAACTGCTGGGTCCCATGGGAATTTGTCATACATATGCAGACTGGTTTAGTATTTGTTATTTATCACGTCTCTCATGAGTTGTCCTTAATTTTGAGGTAATTGAGCTTTTGCATATGCAGACTGGTTTAGTGTTTGTTATTTATCACTTTGTTTTTGCAATCACTAGTTCTTTGGTTTTAATTGAGTAGCTGGGTTTTGAGGTAATTGAGCTTTTACATATGCAGACCGGTTTAGTATTTGTTATTTATCACTTTGTTTTTGCAATCACTAGTTTTTTGGTTTTAATTGAGTAGCTGGGTTTAGAGGGTTTGTTTCTGTATGGTTGGATCAGATTTGATGAATTGGTGTCATTCGTGAATGAGACTGCATTTTTTTAGCTTATTGAGAGTTCATTTTATTCGGGAATAGCAGATGAGTGAATAGTGACGATTAAATTATTTGGAGGGAGTGAAATTTTTGTGACTTTAATATTTGTTGACATGTCCCAACCCGCCAACCCAACCCAACCCGACCGACATTTAGTAGGGTTGGGTTGAATTTCAATCAAATCGACCATGTTGAGTTGGGTTTGGGCAAAAACCGACCCAACCCAACCCAACCCATGCCCACCCTAGTAAAGAGTGCGGAGCCATAAAACATGTTGGAATAATTGGTGGTTGAACAATTTTTTTTTATAGGCCTCAAAAATTAAGCTAAGTGGTGAAAGTCCCTTAAATGTACAAATAAGAAGAGTAAAGAGTGCGGAGCCATTAAACGTGTTGGAATAATTGGTGGTTGAATAATTTCTTTTTGTAGGCCTCAAAAATTAAGCACATCAACATAGGCAGAATTACAATATATATAATCAAAGCTTTTGTACGTCGTGAGATCAAGAGAATGCTTAAACCGATAGCATTGTAATTCCAAGGGAGGGTAGGGATTCATTATGTTTGAAGTCATAAAAGATAACTTACTTGTCCGTCAATTTGTTACAGTTGTCTAGAGCTAGTAACTCCAATGATAAACTGAAACGTCCAACGGCTTGCAAAGCTTCATCCGTTATGTTTTGGTAGTGTAGCTTTACAAATTTTAATAAAGAGCATCCTTTCAATATAGAAAGCAAGCCTTCGTCGTCGATTAACTCTGATTTTATCGATAAAATTTGAAGAGATATGCAGTGAAATCCCACGGCTTCTAACGAGACATTAGTAAGACTTTCACCGAACTCAAGACAGAGATTTCAAAGTTCTCCCACAACCGCGGGCTAACTGAACGAATCCCGTGCCAGTCAAACTTTTGCAACACACTAAATTCAAATCTTCGAGTCAAGTACAATATTTTGCAATAGCAGCTAGACTGTTATCTCCAACGCAGCAGTACTTTAAAATAACAGTGTAACAAAAGCTCATTTAGGCATAGCATATTACATAGGCAATAATCAGAAGTCAATCATAGATGATTTTAAACACGATCAACACATAATAAGAGTTTTGCGGAATCCAAACGAACAACGTGCCTAAGGCTGTGTTTGGTACGAAAGGAAGATGGAAGGAGTGGAAGAGAGATGAGACCCGACTTTATACCCATGGCTGTTCAACATATGTTAGTTGAAATAAATGATAAAAAAAGAACACTTTCAATCCATTTTTTTATCCCTGTAAACCTTTCCCTGCAATCAAGCAAAGGAAAACCAATTTCCCCCATAGTTTTCCTGTTAACCATTCTATGTATCTTTCCTAATACCATAGCCTAAAAAAGTAAGCAAAATGATTCTAGATTTTGCTACAAAACATGTATATATATGCCAAAGCTAAAGTGCAATAGAAAAGCCAGATTCATATTCTAAATTATCACACGACGCAAATGTTCTTCTATGATTTAGAGAGAGCACGTCAATATTTTGATCCAAAACAAAGCACTCCTCAAATGGAATGGCAATTAAGAATTAAAATGGTAGAATGCAAGTATATGTAAAGGGCAATTACCTGTAAATCCAGAGACTTTAGCAATTTACATTTCTCAACAATAGATATTAGCCCTACATCCGTTACATTATCGCACGAAGTCAACCTCAACCTCTCAAGTTTGGTAAAGCCACCTCCAATGGCAGCCAACCCCAAGTTTGATAAACAACACTTTCTCATTTCATATAGTTGAAATTTACTTAATCCAATAAGAGGAAATCAATTGATAAGACTTGGTCTCCCCTTCATCATGAGCGAAGAAAGACATTTAAATAGATAGATTCCAGAAAGAATAGAATTAACAAGCCAATCAAATGTAACTTAATAACAGTTTAAGAATAATTACATGCAACAATGCCAAGGCAAATTAAGAAACTTAAGAGTAATGTACTTTATAGTTCTTAACACTATTTTACTATAAATTGAAATTTCAGTCCATATTTGAACTTTTGACATTATAAAATTATGCATATGAAGCAATTAGATAGATGGGGTCTATTTGACATCCCAACATCAAGAATCTAATTAGAGTGCAAAAACTGAATTATCTGTAAAGATTCTCAATTTGGGATCATTTAACAATTCACCAGTTCTTAAAATAAAGAGCAGGATAAATTTTTTGAACAATTTAATGTTCAGGAAGAGTTAAGAGAAGGAAAAAAATAATGTAAGTAGGTATTCGAAGATGTACATACATAGATACATACATACATACATACAAATAAAGTCCCGTAGAAGATAAAATACTTATTTATATCTTAAAATATGCATTACCAAAAAATAAAATCTATCAAATTTGCAGCCGAATGAATTAAGGACAAAAAATTGAACAGACTTATATTCCTATGTTTTAATCAGGTAGGCAAAACAAGACTTTATTAATAAAGCATCATAAATCCAAATAAAACGTAACACAATATTTATTAACTTACCTAAATGAAAAGGAACACTTACATATATAGGAGCGGGAGAGATTAAGGAGTTTTCATCAACCTAAACATCGCGAATGTTGAAGAAGCGGTCGCTTAAGAGCTTGATGAGGGCATCGGTGCCATCTGAGAAGCGGATGCGGATAGTCTTGCGGCTTAACCTCACTAGATTGAGCCACCGCTTGCACACCAAAAAAGAAGCTTCTTGGTCCTTCTTCCAATCCAGGTACTCGAATATTTCCAACATTATGTCGTCTGACAGTGCCGAATTAATCAGATCAAACCACCGTCTCTTCATCATCATAATAATATTAATAATAATAATTAACCATTGTTTTCTATTTAGAAATAAGATTAAAACCTAGAATGCTGACTGCTGAGTATCGTATAGGCAAGACTTGCGGTGAATATATATATAGCCCCTGTTTTGGCCCCATTAAATTAAATTAAATTAAATTACGTTAAATTTTTCTATCTCTTCATTACAATCACACATTCATCAAATAAAATAATATTACACACAAATCTAAAACTTTTCATTACTTTTCCACCACACATTCTCCCATCAATCACAATTTCAAAAATTTTCAACTATCAAAAATGCCAAATAATGGGGGCCAAACAGGGGCATAGTAGGGTGTAATATGGGATGGGCTACTGACATGGATCACGGCCCTCTTAAGTCCCAAAAGTTTGCTTCAAGACCAATTTCATAGTATGGCCCATGTTCAGCTTTTTTATTTATATTTCCAAAATTCCTAACTGATTAAAAAGTGCATTATTAGCCCCCGTTTGAGCTCCATTATATTACATTAATTTTTTCTCTCTTTATTTCAACCACACATTCATCAACCGACTGCACCTGCGTTTTCCATCCTTCATATAGTGTTATCTTCATTTGCTTCCTTTTTATTTCTCGAACAAAAAAGAAACCCTAGGAATCGTTTCTTCTTCTTTGTCTGCGCAATATTTGCAAATGAACGTGATATTAAAGGTAAATTTCTACATCTTGTTGTCTCATTTTTGTTTTCCATTCCAGTTTTTGCGTTTTGTTTTTTTATGCAACCTTTTTTTTTTTTTGTTCGTTCCTTACTCCATCTCTTGTTAATTTTTCTTGATTTTATTTCAGGTTTTGTTTTGTGTTGTCAACAGGTGTTGTTAAAAGGTAAGCTTTCCTTTTTTTTTTTGGCTACAGAACCATAGACGTCCATGTATGGGTTGCATAATTAGTGATCATTATGATTCACTTCATTTGTACTTTAATCTCATTTAAGAATTTATTTGTCTTAAGATTGATAGCATGCTTACATCTCTCTCAGATAATTCATTCCATATTTGGTTTTGGCTTAATATTTAGTTAAATGCATACTGCTTCCATATTTGGTTTTGGCTTAATATTTAATTAAATGCATACTGCTGTTATATGATAGTATAGAAAATGTGAACTTTGGATTAACAATGATTGAGATGAAGAGTATTAGTAGTTAGAGTATTAGGAGAATGTTTATTTGCAAGTAAAGGAAAATGTTTGTTTGATGATGAATAATCTAATCTAAATCTAAAAATGGAAAAAATTAGTTTCTTAATCTTAAGCTAGAAATTAGAACCAGAACATTGTTCATACAATGTCAGAAAGTAAAACAGAGAGATAGACTTGTGGGAAAAGTAAGACCGGTGTTGCCCTATTATTTGTAAATTTTGAAGTCTCATTTTCATCACATGGGGCCCATGGTTTGAATTAATTATCTCATGAATTATCCTGTATTCAATGAAGAAGAGATTAGGTAGGAAACCATGCAAACCAGTTTAGAAAATAGTGAACTCAACCAAGTGTGAAAAGGAGGGTTACAATAATGAACAGTAAAGGACAAAGCGGCTCTTATAAGAGAAACTACATATCCTAAATAAAGAAAACTCTCTTTTTGTTATAGTAAGAAAGAAATTTCTATAAATTTCAAAGTCTCATTTTCATCACATGGGGCCCATGGTTTGTCAATATGTTTGTCTCCACGATTGAAACAACGTACAAGAAGAAGTGGAAATCTTCAAAAGAAGCTCATCTATCTCGACAAAATAAGTTCCTCTTCTGACGACGAAACAAAACAATAGGTATTCTTATGAGCCTTTTTAGGTAAAAAGTTTCTTCCTATGATGTTGGGAGCTTATACATTTTTTTTTTAATTTTTGGAATGAAACTAGGGATTTTCGGTGAACTTTTCGATTTCTTATGCAAAAGTTTTTGAAATTCTAACTTTCATTTGTATGTTTTGTTTTTGGATTGGTATTTTTTGGTAGGCGTTGACAACTAAACCAAATTACAAGAAGTGGAAATCTGCCAAAAAAAAAAACCAAACTCCTCTATTGACGACAAAACGAAAAAATACGTACCATTACATGCTTTCTTAGGCAATTAACAATATTATACTATTATCTAATATTATTTATTATTTGAAAATTATGTGTAAAATACAATACAAGTTTGAAAAAATTATGTGTAATAAATTATGCGATAATATATAAAATATATTATATTATTATAATAAATCGGATCAAATTGACCTATATTCATATTTGCTTCATTTAGTTAACGTCACTTATTGAGCCTAAAATTTTCCCCCGACAACAATGGATACGGATCTTAACCGAATTATCGAACTGAAACCCTAAATCTTTCCCCATTAATTTTATCGAATTCAGATCGAATTCGGATTAAAATTCAATCCATTAACAGCCCTAGTACTAGGGCTTTAGATGCAATACTGTACATACAGTAAGCTACCTTGACTAGGCATGGGCACGGTTTGGTTTGGGTCGATTTCGACCCCAACCCAAAACCAAATTAGTCGGTTTGGTATGTGTAGGCCTGGGCGCAGTTTGGTTTGGGTCGGTTTCGACCCCAACCCGAAACCAAAACCAAATTAGTCGGTTTGGGTAAATTTCAACCCAAACCGACCCAGTCTAGCTCTTAAACCAAACCAAACCGATTCGGTTCGGTTTGGTTTGGTTCGGTTATTCGATTTGAGTTTTTGTCCAAATTGAATTTAAAAAAAAAACTCTCGAGTTTTAGCTAACTTATAATACATATAATTTTGTTCTTAAGTTATACAACTTTTTATTTGAATTACAACATATAGCAACTAAAAATATATTTGAAATTTCAGTTTTCAAAGAACGAAAATAATTATCGCAACCTGAATTATCACAATATCTAAGCTTTAATTAACGAATCAAAACACAATATGTAATTAAAAAGATTCAATATGGTAACTAATCCATAATCATTATCTCAACATGCATTTTCAGAAAGCGAACTTATTACAAGTAAAACTTGCTATATAAAAAAAAATTTAACTAAAAACAAAGACTACCAACTGAAATAGAAAACAATGTTTATAAAGAATATAAAATAATATCCATGTTTCCTTGAAAGTGTCATCATTAAACAAAATGTTTATATAGTATTCAACAACACTATTCAAAGAAACAGCTTGAGCACCTCCACATTCTGGAGAACATCATTAAGCTTTTGATTTTGACTTTTTTTTTTAAAAAAAAATGGAAACATGTGTAAGTGGGTTGGGTCAGTTAACCAGTGGTTTAAGGCTTTAAACCACGACCAAACCGAACCATGGTGGTTTTGTTTAAAATAGAACCAAACCAAACCAATAACTATGTCAAACCGACCCAAACCAACCCGAGTCTGTTTGGTTTGGTCATTTTTTTCGATTTTTTTGCCCACCCCTAACCTTGACTCTTTTCTCAAAATTTATTTATTCAACTATAACAAGTCAGGAGTAAGACCCTGTTTGGCCCCCATTTTGGGGGGTTGAAATTTTTTAGAATAGTGATTGATGGGAGAATGCGTTGTGAAAAAGTAATGAAAAGTTTTAGATTTGGTGTAATATTATTTTATTTGATGAATGTGTGGTTGAAATAAAGAGAGAAAAAATTAATGTAATGTAATGGAGCTCAAACGGGGGCTAATAATGCACTTTTTAATCAGTTAGGGATTTTGGAAATATAAAGAAAAAAACTGAACATGGGCCATACTATGAAATTGGTCTTGAAGCAAACTTTTGGGACTTAAGAAGACTATGATCCATGTCAGTAGCCCATCCCATATTACACCCTACTATATATATATATATATATTCACCCTCAAGTCTTACCTATACGATACTCAGTAGTCAGCATTCTAGGTTTTAATCTTATTTCTAAATAGAAAACAATGGTTAATTATTACTATTAATATTATTGTGAAGATGAAGAGACGATGGTTTGATCGGATAAATTCGGCACTGTCGGACGACATAATGTTAGAAATATTCCAGTACCTGGATTGGAAGAAGGACCAAGAAGCTTCTTCTTTGGTGTGCAAGCGGTGGCTCAATCTAGTGAGGTTAAGCCGCAAGACTATTCACATCCGCTTCTCAGATGGCACCGATGCCCTCATCAAGCTCTTAAGCGACCGCTTCTTCAACATTCGCAATGTTTGGGTTGATGAAAACTCCTTAATCTCTCCCGCTCCCATATATGTAAGTGTTCCTTTTCGTTTGGATAAGTTAATGAATATTATGTTTCGTTTTATTTGGATTTATGCTGCTTTAATAATAAAGTCTTGTTTTGCCTACCTGATTAAAACATGAGAATATAAAGTCTGTTCAAATTTTTGTCCTTCATACGGCTGCAAATTTGATAGATTTTATTTTTGGTAATGCAAATTTTAAGATACAAATAAGTATTTTATCCTCTACGGGATATATATTGTTCCTGAACATTAAATTGTTCAAAAATTTTATCCTGCACCATATTTGAAGAACTAGCGAATTGTTAAATGATCCCAAAGTGAAAAGTGAGAATCTTTAAAGATAATTCAGTTATTGCACTCTAATTAGATTCTTAACGTTGGGATGTCAAATAGTCCCCATCTATCTAATTGTTTCATATGCATAATTTATAATGCCAAAAGTTCACATATGGACTGAAATTTCAATTTATAGTAACAGTGTTAAGAACTATAAAGTACATTACTCTTAGTCTCTTATTTTGCCTTGGTAGCGTTGCATGTAACTATTCTAAAACTGTTATTAAGTTACATTTTATTGGCTTGTTAATTCTACTCTTTTTGGAATCTATCTATTTAAATGTCTTTCTTCGCTCATGATGTAGGGGAGACCAAGTCTTATTAATCGATTTCCTCTTAATGAAATATGGAAATCTCAACTAGATGAAATGAGAGAGTGTCGTTTATCAGACGCGGGGTTGGCTGCCATTGGAGGTGGCTTTACCAAACTTGAGAGTTTGAGGTTGACTTTGTGCAATAATGTAACAGATGTAGGGCTAATATCTATTGTTGAGAAATGTAAATTGCTAAAGTCTCTGGATTTACAGGTAATTGCCCTTTACATATACTTGCATTCTACCATTTTAATTCTTAATTGCCATTCCATTTGAGAAGTACTTTGTTTTGGATCAAAATATTGTCGTGCTCTCTCTAAATCATAGAAGAACATTTGCGTGGTGTGATAATTTAGAATATGAATCTGGCTTCTACTTGCACTTTAGCTTTGGCATATAGCAAAATCTAGAATCCTTTTGCTTACTTTTTTAGGCTATGGTATTAGGGACGATACATAGAATGGTTAACGGGAAAACCATGGGGGAAATTAGGTTTCCTTTGCTTGATTGGAGGGAAAGGTTTAAAGGGATAAAAAAAATGGATTGAAAGTGTTCTTTTTTTTATCATTTATTTCAACTAACATATGTTAAACAACCATGGGTATAAAGTCGGGTCTCATCTCTCTTCCACTCCTTCCATCTTCCTTTCGTACCAAACATAGCCTTAGGCACGTTGTTCTTTTGGATTCCGCAAAACTCTTATTATGTGTTGATCGTGTTTAAAATCATCTATGATTGACTTCTGATTATTGCCTATGTAATATGCTATGCCTAAATGAGCTTTTGTTACACTGTTATCTTAAAGTACTGCTGCGTTGGAGATAACAGTCTAGCTGCTATTGCAAAATATTGTACTCGACTCGAAGATTTGAATTTAGTGTGTTGCAAAAGTTTGACTGACACGGGATTCGTTCAGTTAGCCCACGGTTGTGGGAGAACTTTGAAATCTCTTCGTCTTGAGTTCGGTGAAAGTCTTACTAATGTCTCGTTAGAAGCCGTGGGATTTCACTGCATATCTCTTCAAATTTTATCGATAAAATCAGAGTTAATCAACGACGAAGGCTTGCTTTCTATTTTGAAAGGATGCTCTCTATTAAAATCTGTAAAGCTACACTGCCAAAACATAACGGATGAAGCTTTGCAAGCGGTTGGACGTTTCAGTTTATCATTGGAGTTACTAGCTCTACACGACTGTAACAAATTGACGGACAAGTAAGTTATCTTTTATGACTTCAAAAATAATGAATCCCTACCCTCCCTTGGAATTACAATGCTATCGGTTTAAGCATTCTCTTGATCTCACGACGTACAAAAGCTTTGATTATATATATTGTAATTCTGCCTATGTTGATGTGCTTAATTTTTGAGGCCTATAAAAAGAAATTGTTCAACCACCAATTATTCCAACACGTTTTATGGCTCCGCACTCTTTACTCTTCTTGTTTGTACATTTAAGGGACTTTCACCACTTGTCTGAAACTATAGGCAATGTAGATTAACCTATGTTTTTCTTTTTATTGTGGTTCAGTTCACTAATGTAATTTGGTTTTATTAACTCACTGTTCGATATTAGGCAGTGATGATTTTTTTTTTATGGCATTAGGTATGTGTAAGGTGCAATTAGTTTCAGTAAAAAGGTGGAACAACAAATTTTATTATAATTTTCTTATTTTTGGATTTTATTTAGCTAATGATGCACATTAGACTCATCGTGTACGTCCATCCATGCCCTAAGTGTTTATTATATGTAATTAATGCCTTTATGGGAGTCCATGTGATAGATTGGGTATATTTTTTTGAAATAGCAACTTTTATTCTTATCTGCATTAGAATATGGTATTTTATATGTATCCTTTTAATGCTTTATTTTTAGTTTCTTCACTTCTGTTTTAGGGGTGGGAGTTGATGGTAGAAACGAGAAATGGATAATATTCTTTGTAACTCACTAATATTATCTTTCCATCACAACTCTACAGGAGTCTTTGTGCTATAGGGAAAGGATGTAAGATGTTGAAAAGTCTTAGCTTAGTCAATTGCCGAGCTTTGAGTGACTTGGGTTTGGATTTTGTTGCTGTTGGTTGTGTGGAGCTTATGTGTCTTGAAGTCCGTGAATGCTACAAAATTGGAATAGGCGGACTGAAATCCGTTGCAAAAGCTTGCACGTAAGAAGCTTGATCACCTCTTGTCTACAACATAATATTTCCTTTTATCCTTTTCTTTTGGTTGCTAGTTGCCTGGGTTGTACAATAAGAAGTAGGAAGTAACTCTCCACTTCCCTCATTCACTTCATATGAGATTTGGACCCACAATTATTTGGGTGATAACCTTGATCGCTTCTAAGTGATGGTCTTAACCTATGATGCTCCGACACTAACACGTATGTTCGACACGCTTTTTAAAAAAAAGCACTGACAAGAAATGTTGATTAAATTCTTTATAATTCTTGATTTACATAATATGAGTTGAAGTATCCTTGCAATACAGGTCTAATTGTTATTCTTTGTCTTACTTTTAGTTATGCGGTTTGTGTACCCTATGTTTCACATCATTCACAATTTCTAGTCTTGGAATCTTTAATGCAGTCGCCTTTCTAAGTTAGTGGTGCAGCAAGGGATGTATCAGCAATTAGATGTTGATGCACTAAGTGACAGTGACATTAGCTGGAAGTACTTGCAATCTCTTCATTTAATCAGTTGTTCAAGTATTGGGGATGAAGCCTTATGTGGTATAACAAGAGGGTGTAGGAACTTGAAGAAGCTGAATATTTTCGATTGTCCTCGGGTATGCTTGTTTCTTTCTTTTCTTTTGTTTTTAGTATTTTTTTTTTTGCTATGATTGTCTATAGTGCATTACATTTGGAACGTTAATGTTTTTATCACTCTTTATCCTTGAAGGTTAATTCATTTTGGTGTTTGGAAAACATTCGAGTTTGTGATGTTTTGTTTATTAGAGGGAAGAGTTTGTTATTTTACTTGCATTTCATTATCATCTCTATTTCTCACTATGGAATCACAAGTACCTCCTTGATTTTTAACATGCACTGGCCCTCTATCGAGATTGTTTATATTCTTGGGAAGATTGAACTTTAGTTTGTCTTCTTTAGTTGTCCACGATATAATTGGTGATGGTGACAGAAGTGGTTCAACTCTCTGTGTGATTATTATCAAATGTTACACAAGATTCCTTTATGTCTTTGGCTGTTAAGATTTAGCCCCTATTTGGTTTTGCAAAAAATTAGATTGCTAGTAGACTTTTATAGAAGTTGATATGTGTAGTTGAAAAGTAGATAAAAGTTAACCTTGAAGGGTTGCTCAATTGGTCAGGTCTTGAGTTTGCTCCCCAATGGTCACTAGTTCGAGTTCCCTCAGGGCCACTGAGGTGAGTACCCGACTGTAAATTTCAGGATCTCGTGGAATTAGTCGAGGTGCGCGAAGCTGGCCCGGACATCCACGGTTATTAAAAAAAAAGTAGATATAAGTAGTGAGTCTCATGAAATGTGGTTAAAATTAATTATTAACTTTGACCTAGATTTTTATCAATTTTTTTTAGCTAAAACCAAACAGGGGCTTAATGAGCTTTGTTATAATATTTTACGTGAAATATAATCCACTATACTATAAAGGTGTTTGATTTTCGAGTTTGTTGGATATCAAATTGAGGTCGCAATACCTTTTTTAGATGATCCACGTAATTGTTCCCAAGCCAATATTTAGGATAATTGATTTCATAATGAGTATACAGAGTTTATGATTTGGAGTTATTTATGTCAGTTGTTTTCAAGCATTTTTCTTGCATTTAATCGGAAACTGTTTGTTTTTGGTGCTTGCATAGATTCTTTTGGTGTTTTAATAACATTGCAAGTTGAATGGATCTTATGGTCAACAACTGAAATTCGTAAATTTCCAATTTTGTCAAAACCCAAAAATGCAAAAACATAAAAATAAAAAACTAAATATTATAATCCACATTTCTAATTTTATTTTCTTGGCGAATTTTGCAAATCTTGTAGACATTCTAAAGTCAATATTAATATATATTAGAAGGCTTCTTCTATCTACATAGACACTATAGTTGTGGGATTATTATTATTATTACGTGTTCTCGTCCAATACTAAATTTTACTTTTGTGTCTCTATTGTTCTTCTCTCTCACCTTGATTTCGCTAGTAATTCATATTTATTTTTCTTTTCATTATGGATAGGTGGGGAATGAAGGAATAGTTTCCATTGGTTGGAATTGTAAATTTCTTACAGACCTCACCATAAGTTACTGCGATCAGTAAGCAATCCCTTCTTTCCCTCCTCCAAATACATATTTTGTTGTCTATTCCTATATCAACTCGTTAGATTTTTTGCTGAAGTTGTTTTTGTTTACAATTTTATTTGTCTTACTTGCCCTATCTTTATTCTACATCATGTTATATTGGCTTATGAAATCTCTCGCTGCAAAGATTGGTATATATCTAATCATGTCGGATAACATGATGCATTCCGATGTATTTCTTTTTGTGTTAGTGATTCCCTGAATGACTTTTAGTATTTCTCTACTAATTATCACCTCCTTCACAAGATTATATCGACTTTCAAATACATAGTTCGTAATTCTCTACTAATTATCACCTCCTTCACAAGATTATATAGACTTTCAAATACATAGTTCGTAATCCATTTCTTATAAGTATGCTTGGAAGCATGATTTAGATATGGCACTTCTCATGAAGCCTTAGCTTCAGTATCTCTTTCATTTTCCCCTTTCCCCTCCCCAAAGCCTCTCCCTTTTTTCCCTTTTTTCTGGTGGAGTTGGTAGTAGAGTAGTAAATTTTATTTTGGTGCATTGAATTGGAATATTAAATTGTTTGCTGTTATTTTTCCTAGTCTAGTTTAATTAGGAATTAATTGGTATTAATATTATTGTTTCCTTTTCCATTTCCCTACTATAGTTTGGAGTATCTTTCTTTTCTTTCATTGATGGGATTGTACCATAATATATAATGTTGATTGTCGATGCGCAAAATAATTCAGTTCCGCCTGAGTTTCAAGTTGGTATCAAATCAGAGTACAATTGATCTTTGGTTAAAAGAAAGAAATCATATTCTAAAGAAAGAAGAGAAAAGATAAAAAAATCCTATTTGGAATAAGATTGTCTTGCATCATTCTTCCCCACTCGAACAAAATTACATAACTCATCGTCCAAGTTTGGTTGAAAAAGAGAATTAATCAATCAAGAAAAAAATCTCTAAATTTTCTGAAGTCAACAACTTCACCTCAGACAATCCTAGCTGTCGGCATCTCCTCTATGTACAACATAAGCCATGACAGCAGAGGCGGTTTCCTGCTCAAATTGCATATTTTGCTGGGTTTGTAGTGGCTCCTGCTTCATATTTCTTTTGGCCTAGTTCTTGGGCTTTTGTTCGGCCTATGGTTGTGTTGTATGTGAACTTGGGTCTGAATAGAGAGAGTCGATGTAGGATTAATTGAAATAACCAACAAAAGAGCAGCAGCAGAGAAGAAGATCAGCAACACAGGAAGAATTCTAGCAAGAACAAGAGAAGGAAGCAGAAAATGGTAGGAGAAGAGAGGAGGAAACCGAAGAGAGTGGGAAGAGAGGACAGGGGAGTGGAAACGTGGGCAATCATTCATTCATTCATCAAATGTCTTTTGAAATTCAATACAAGCATATAAATAGAGTATCGTAACTTAGGAAATTGAATCAAAGAAACACGCAATAAAGTATAGTAATTTTCAATAGAGTATCATAACTTATATTGCACATTGAAAGTAAGTTCAAAATTTCATGATTGAAAATGAATTGCCTTCTTAACTTGGCATGAAATTTAGAAACATTATCAACCCGATGATTTAATAAAGCATGTCGGTAATTAGCGGGCAACATTCTAATGTCAATGGGAAGAGTGTGCAATTGAGTAATGGCCTTAGATAACAATGTGACAACCTTTGGAATCTCATGCATTTGAGGTAAGAAAGAAAAAAAAGAGATGAGAATGAGAAGAAAATGTGTGTCATATGGGGGCTTACATTAAACAATTACAATTTATTGAATAATCAGTTTTTTTCAATAAAATATTATTAAAAAAATTCTCAAAATTTCAAAGTAAACGCGTTTTCCATTTTTCTGTTTTCAGAAACTGTTTTTCAGAATGGCAAAAAGAACGTATTTTCAGAAATTTCAAAACAGACACTCAAAACACAAAACACAAAACAATTTTCGGAACACAAAACACAAAACTGAAACACGAAGAGAACGGCCCCTTAATATTCAGGAAGGGTTAAGAGAAAAGGAAAAAAATAATGTAAGTATTGAAAGATGTACATACATACATACATACATACATACATACAAATAAAGTCCCGTAGAAGATAAAATACTTATTTATATCTTAAAATATGCATTACCAAAAAATAAAATCTATCAAATTTGCAGCCGAATGAATTAAGGACTAAAAATTGAACAGACTTATATTCCTATGTTTTAATCAGGTAGGCAAAACAAGACTTTATTAATAAAGCATCATAAATCCAAATAAAACGTAACACAATATTTATTAACTTACCCAAATGAAAAGGAAGAATTACATATATGGGAGCGGGAGAGATTAAGGAGTTTTCATCAACCCAAACATCGCGAATGTTGAAGAAGCGGTCACTTAAGAGCTTGATGAGGGCATCGGTGCCATCTGAGAAGCGGATGTGGATAGTCTTGCAGCTTAACCTCACTAGATTGAGCCACCGTTTGCACACCAAAGAAGAAGCTTCTTGGTCCTTCTTCCAATTCAGGTACTGGAATATTTCCAACATTATGTCGTTTGACAATGCCGAATTTATCAGATCAAACCGCTTCAACATTTGCGATGTCTGGCATTGTTTTTTTGTTGGTATATGTGGATGATATTATTATCTCTAGCTCTGACCAAAATCTTATTCAGAAGCTTCAGCAGCATCTTCATTCAGTTTTTCATATGAAGGATCTTTGTCAACTTACTTACTTCCTTCCTTGGCTGAGAGGTTCATACTACATCGCATGGTGTCTTCTTGAATCAACATAAGTATATTCAAGATGGAATTCGGTTGGCTGATCTATCTGAAGCCTCCTCAGTTGATACACCTTTGGAGCTTAATGTTAAATATCGTAAAGATTAAGGCGATATTCTTCCAGATCCTACTCTTTATCGTAAGTTGGTAGGTAGTCTCATCTATCTCACCATCACATGTGACACGTTCATACTGTAAGTAAGTTTATGGATGTCCCTCGTCACCTTCATTTGGTAGCTGTTCGTCGCATTATTCGATATCTTATTGGGACTCCTCATCGTGGACTCTTCTTTCCTCGGGGGTCATCTCTTGAGCTCACAGTCTATAGTGATGCTGACTTGGTGGGTTGTCTTGATTCTCGTCGATCTACCACTCGATGGTGTGTCTTTCTGGGTGATGTTCTCATTTCTTGGAAATGCAAGAAACAAGACTTTGTTTCTAAGTCCTCCACTGAGGCTGAATATCAAGCTATGTCTATCGCATGTTCTGAGGTTGTGTGGTTGCGTGGTCTCCTTGCAGAACTTGGTATCTCTCAATCACAACCTACGCCTCTCCATGGTGACAACACTAGTGCTATTCAAATTGCGGCAAATCCTGTGTTTCATAAACGCACCAAACATATTGAAGTAGACTGTCATTATATTCGGGACGCCTATGATTTCAAGGTCATCATTCTTCCTCATGTTTCTACTACTAATCAAGCTGCTGATATCTTCACCAAATCCCTGACTCGCTACCGTCATAATTATCTAGTTAGCAAATTGATGCTTGTGGACTCCCCAACATCAATTTGAGGGGGGTATTAGCATATTATTAGAACTTTATTATTTATTTACAGCTAATTAGGTGGTTTCCTTGTAAATAGCTACTTTCCATGTATATCTTGTATACTTAAATAACTTGTAACATTCTATAAAGAGGAAGAAGACGTACGAGAAGATTATTCAGCAAATTATTGTCAGGGGTGGGTAATTTTTTTGAATTTTTAATTCAGGTGGGCCCACGTATGTGAGAGAATGTAAAAATTATGTAAATCATTTTTGCTGTGCACTTGGATTTATTCATAGTATAGATATTGATTGAACAACGGTGATCGGGATGATGAGCAGTAACTATCCACTCAACGTTTGAACACAAGGGAATAAAAAATGAATAGTAATCTCCACATTCCCTCTTTTAAAGTAAAGGTGAAATGTTACTATGAAGTTGGAAAAAAGTAGAGCTGTAATGATCTAGTGGCAGTGTTACAGAGTTGTCGAAGATGTTGAAGTGCCGAAAATGATTTATGTGGCTACTAGTAAAAATAATGAAGATGAAAATTGAAAAATGCAGAAATGCAGAGCGACCTTTAATAAATCTTTCATTTCGATCATTTCTAGCACATTGACCAACAAACGGTGGCATGAAGAAGTTCAAAGGTATAAGTATGACGAGGAAAACATATGCAATTTAGAAAATTTGGGTGAATGTGAAAATTATTACAATGGAATAAAATTAATACACTTAAATTAGAAGCGAAACTAAAAGTTTACTGAAAACCCAAGCCTACTAAACTTGAATAAGTCCATTTGGGTCAGTTTACACATGAAGTAAGTTCGCTTCCAGTTGAACCTCATTTGAAGTTACGCAGCTTAAGTCGTTGTATGGGTCTACAAATGCAAACAACAACGGAACTGTAAACACTCCCAGATGGACCAAAAACACTCCAAGTATACCCACATGAAGCTCTTGTAATCCTCGCTAAAAATTAAAAGCAAAGATCGAATAACAACTTAAGCTTCTCAAGTAGATGAGGGTAAAGAAAGAAAAAACCCAGCTAAGTTTTCACACATACACACAAAAAATAACATATTTTATATTAAATAAAGCTGAAGAAAATAAGAAATAAATCTACAAGAAAGCAAATGTGGAACAAAAATTGAACACAACAAATCAAAAATCGAGCAAAAACTTAAGCTCCTGAGGTACATTGAGGTAAACAAAGAACCCAGCTAAAATTTCACGTATGCAAAAAAATGATACCCTAAGGTAACTGCTGAAAATTCTTTACTTCCGTACGATCGAGAGAAGGAGATAGGCTTAGGTTGAAGGCAAAATCCAGCGATGATAGAACGCTGCAGACATGGGCGGACCCAGAATTATGGTTGAGAGGGGGTGAGACAGAATGGAAGCTGACCTCAAAGAATGGAAGCTGGTAATTTAGGAAATAGTAAAATTTCTAAAAGCTGA